AAGTCAACATTGAAACACCTGCGGCTTTTGGTCAGGTGCGGCTAATGTATGTACAAAACAGGATTTTCCCCTGATTTTAGCTTGTGCGGCTAATATTTAGGTGCGCTTTGTAGTCCGGGAAATACGGTATACGTTTTCTTTATTGCATTTATCATGTTCCAATTGTTTTTTGTTCACTGCTATTCAGTAAATATAGTTGTTGAAAGCATTTCTGTGTTTACTTTTCATTTTAAACAAGTTAAAGCTGATTATAGATGACCTAATCTCCACTCTGGGTACACCCTGCACAGGTCAGATTGGGCAGGTGGAACGAATTTATAGATGGATGGATTACAGAGAGACACAGCATTACAGAGACAGGAAACATTCCCCTCCTCTTCTTTAAAATGAGAAACACAGCTTATTGTTCTCACACTGGTTTCGGATCAGATACTTTATGTTGACAAACACCCAAAACCACGGTATCAGCTTCGGACTGAAAAAGTAAACGTTTCTTCAGGTTTCTTCAGTGAGGTGTTTGTGTGAAGTGTGAGAAAGAGCTGCCCTTACTTTCATCTGATCGTAAGATGGTGTCGTACTAACCACAACTTACTGTGTGGACACTGCTAAGCTGTTATTTCGGGTATAGAAAAAAAGAAGATGAAGAATACAGCGTCACTCAGTTTCAGGCGGCATCACTCACTACTAAGGTTGGGCGATTGGACGAATATATCCACTATTGACGACAGGCTGAGCCTTTCGACGATTGTTTTAAAGGGTGATTTATTTATTTATTTGCCGATGAGTAAGTTTGCTAATAATGCTGGTTGAAGCTAAGAGAGGCAATCAATGGAAAAAATGAATAGTGCTGTTTTAATGGCACCTTCTTCCAGCTGCGAACCAATGCACCCTCCTCAGACTGCACCCAAATGCAGCAGCAATACATGCACGCAAACTCATAACAGAAAGAAAGAAAGGCAGTTCAGAAAAAAACAAAAACATTTTATTTAAATACAAAAACCACAATGGTGGGGAGGGAAACAAAGAGAAACTGGTTTCCTTTTTCCACTACAACCGTGTTTACAGCCTGTTCCAGTGTTTCTGTGTCTTACACACTCGACCAAACAACAAATACAAAATTAAACAAAAAGTAAGTTAAAAATCAAAGTGTCTCTTCCAGCGAACATAAAAGATAAATCTCTTTTTTGCAATTTGGCGCATGTCAATTAGATAAATAAAGAATCCAAAAGTAGCTATTTTAATACTGAAACAAACAAAAAAGAAGGTAAAATATTCCCTTCAAACAAAACGTTTAAATTCTAAACATGATTGCATTGCTCCGCCCATCAAAAAGTCTGTGCCTGCGCTAAAATACCGCCCATCCTCGGTTATTGGACCATTTTTGAATTATTAAACGTCGCCCACTACCCACACTTTATAGCACATTTACATTCTCTTAGCAGAGAAACACATCAGCGATTTATCCTTGTGCTCAACAGAGCCCAGTACTGTAAATCTGATTCATTCAAAGTAAAAACGTCTGCTGGCTGCTGTAGAAGCAAACGGTTCATAGCAGATAAATAGAAATACTGCCGCGTATCATGATTTATGACTTCACCGAAACCACCACAATCTTTTGTCCTGTTATGTCAGGACAGCCAAAGTCAGAGTGGCTGTTATTTAAAACTGCTGTGTCAAAGCGCTGCGTCACTCGAGGACCTGTTTGGATGGTTTGACCGATCTACATGTGTAAAACATGTAAAACCAGCCTTAGAGTTACGCTGGACAGGTCTGATGTCACTTTGGACAGCATGTGGCTCAGGCAAAAACATCGCTTAAATATAACTGTAGCCTTCAAACGCACTCCCACTCCTGTTCTCACCATATTCACATGTGACGGATGACCTTTTTTGGCTTGATTTACCGATGCTGACCGACGTCCATATAATATCCCACAATAGTACATTTTTACATTTGAAAGTTTACAACTTCTCTACACTTTCTTTGTCGTTTGGTTGGGTTTAGGCATTCAGTAATGTTGCTGTAGCTACTATGAAGTGCATGCTAAATGATATGTTACAGTTACTGTAGTCGTTGTTACAGTTACTGAAATGTCTGCTGCACTTTTAAGCTGGCGAGCAGTTCCTGGAAGTTTTATATTTATGTTTCATTGCAATAAAAGAAAAATAATTTTATACAAAGAAAACTGATCAATTCTGTTAATAACCTTCCCTTGGAAGCCAATTTCAATCAAGTTATATTAAAATATGTTTTCTGTTATAAAACAATTACTTTATACAACTGCAGTTAACCTGCTCACAATGTCAGATGCTAAATCTGTGACAATACTAATAAAGTCTGCTTTATTATCTGAACATTGATGATGTTTTGGATGTTTCTACTATGCATATATATTGACCTGATAATACAACACTGGATAAAAGTGGTGCACTGACTAATGCACAAACCCTGCCCTGTGCAGCGTCGTGCGATGAATACAAACATTTAAACCGACACGAAGCCTCAAACTTGCCCCTGATGAAATCAAAGGCACGAGACACACCAGAATAAACCAAAACAAAGAGGTGGCTGGTGGTTGATACTAACTGACACCAATGCTCAGTTTCCTGATTAGCCGCATTGTCAGAACACAGCTGTCACGCCTGGAGCCAAGCAACCTGTCACAACGCAACTGTGGCACACAGGGAGGAACGGGAAGGAGAAACAACAACAGTGAAGAAATATCAGCAACGTCACGCTCGGTGTGAAGAGTTGGTTTATTTGTGGCAGTACAGCAGCAGGTAACCGTCAGTGTGAGGGTTGTTATCGACCAGGTGTAATGATAACACCAATATACCATCTATAGCTGTGGAAGCAATGCTGCTAGTCTGAGTCTGGAAGCACAACTGACAGACATTTTTAACAAGCCAAGAAAGTTCTTTGCTGCCACTACTCAGCGGTTTAACTAACGATTCCAGGAAATACATATTAATTAAAGGTATTTATTGCAATTTTCTGATTCGCAACAAAGCAACAGAAATCTACCCTATGACACGAGGCACCGGCCAATCACGGGCCTTTATTAGATGTCTTTCAAATGTAGACAAATCTGTTAGAATCTGTGAAGATTTATTTATAAAATCTGCCATTAATATGAACTTACTTAATATTTTGCTATATCAAAAAACAGGATTATGGAAAAAAACAAAAAAAACCTCCCGGGCTGCCTCACTTTTAGTTCGGGTCAAAATTAACAATCAATCATTGTGTTACATGCACAGATGCAAACCTGTGCTTCAGGTGAGCGGTGCCTGAGACAGAGAGAAGAGAAAACCTGCACAGTGGGCGGGATTTTCAGATTCTCTCATTATTTCTTTCATATTTTCACTGTTAATGATTATTACAGGTGGGAAATATTTCCTCCTAAATTTTAACTATTGGTGAAACTTGAAACCCGCCACACGCTGGAGGAAACCATTTTTCTACTGTCGACATCTGCTAATCAAAGCAGCATGCACATAGCTAGCTTGTAGAAAAACAATAGTTCTTACACAGAACAGCTTATTTGAATAATCAGGTCACTATTTCTTGGAAAGAGACACAGCTGTTGAGGGTTTGTTTGTTTTTTTTCCTCGTTAAATACAATTGTTGCACCAGATTGGTGAATGTCATCAAGCTCCATGATCATCAAAAGAGGGCAGGCGTCATCTCTGGAACTGGGCAATTTACAGCAAAATAATCAACGAGGATAAACGACACTACAGAGCAGAGGACAAATTTGGCGAGTGATCTGTTGCTTTGACTTACAAAACTGCACTGTGTAAATTCACACGTTACATATTACTGCACTCATTACATCCGGAAGTACAATACAACTCAATCAGGAAGGATTTTTAAAACATCCTGAAAAGGAAAATGATTAAAATGCCTTAAGAGGTGAAAAGCTTCCTGACAGACAGGATCTGACCTTATATGCTTGAAGTGAACACTGCGTATCAGTGTTTGGCTCCTTGCCCTAGGACATCTCTATAGTAAATTATTAGAAAAGCCAGTTTCTAAGTTGAAGTCCTACAAATACATTTTACAAGAGACAACACTGATGTCACAATGTCATAATAAATGTGTCAGCAGTCGCTCCTTTTTTGTTAGATCCTTTGTGGTAAGAGATTAGAAGAGGGACCCTGTCAGGGCACTTCACACATATGCAGATGACATAAATGATCTGACAGACTTGAACAGTCTTATTCTAATTCTGCACAAAAACATCTATGAAAATCAAGAATTTGATTTCATTTTCTGGCCTCATCTGAAACTCTTTATTGTTTGATGTATGTTCCATGTCAGCAAAGATCTGCCTGAGCTCTCCCCACCTTGTTTGACAGCAGAGAGAGATAAAATCACTTGTAACCGCCCTGACTTCTTCCTGGTTCACATCTGAACCACAAGCTTCATCGTTTAGTTCAAAACTCCACGAAAGCCTCCTCCTACTAATTTCAGACTGAAGATGTATGTTTATTGAGACAGGGGCAATTTCACATTTCTATTTGAAGATTATGATAGCAAATATTTTTCCTCTGAGTGCCACCATCAAAGACTGAATCTAGAAGAGGGACCGTGTTGAAGCACAGGAAGGAAGGCAGCAGTCAAAGAGAAGGAATGCACTGATAAAGGAGGGCTTGAGTTAGGCTGCCTTCAAGAAGACTGAAGAGAAAAGCGCTGTGGTAGGTGGCAGAGTGCACAGTACCAGCAGGACCACCATCAGGCAAAGAAAAGCAATAAGATCTCAGTGATAACAGCTGGTGCTGGTATGCTAGAACTCTGCAAGTTATTAGCTCAAAGTTTGCGTGTGTGTGTGTTTTCATGTAAAAAGCTTGATATTCCCCTTTTTTGCAATGCAGATCAAGGCGCAACGAAAACAAAGCATTTTGGGACTCGTTAATGTAAAAATCTGACCAGGAAACATAATGGAAATAACAAGACCTGAAAGCATTTCAGAGGCTGCCAAAAGTTAAAGTACTCACAGGTTTCTTGAGGAAAAAGACAGAAAGGGCTCCGATCAGAGGGATGTCCCCCAGCAGCGGCTCCATCACCACTCTCATCACTCCATGAAGCTGAACAGAGAAAAAGAAAGAAACATCACAAATGAGTCTTTTGATTTTTAGCCTGTGATGACCCCCAGGTCCAGGTTACACCGGTGAGCCCTAAAACTTGATTCTGTTGATCTGACGTAACGTTTCATCTCTGATCCAAGTGACTTGCTTTCTGTTTGCGTTCACAGACAAGTTTACCCAAATTATTGCTTCTGGTCATTCACAGCCTGCAGGACCATCTAATCCTTAACTCTATTTTTTTCTTCCCCTCAATTACCTGTTAAGCCTCAGAATCCAGGTCAGAGGAAAACAAGAGTAAGACAGGGGACTGTTTTGTTTCATCTTTAAGTTTGATTGCTTCCCCGTAACAAATCCAACAGGGTTACAGCCGTCACAGCATATTATTGGCTACTGAGAGATAACAGACTCATTTTAGAGATCTACAAAGTCCAGCTTAGGTGAATGGATGGGTGGGATAATAAGTCACAGGATTGTCAGTCAGGAGACGGTCTTTCTTCTCCTGTTTGTGTTTTGCATTCAATTTGACTTTTTTTTCCCCACTCACAGCCCACAATCCATCACAGGTTGCTGTAATGTTTAAAGTAGAGAGAAAGTGATGTTTTCTTGTTACAGTTTTGCTGCATTACGAGAAATAATGACCAAAATCCACCAGCAACAATGAATATTGTGTGAGGACCCATTAGTTTGAGTAGAATCGGATCAATACTGTGGTAAAAATGCACAGTGAACACAAATTGGGCAACGACCCATTAAGAGACAAATTTGATTAAATTCTGACAATTCTTGTTGAACGAGCAGCGATTATTTCAGACTGTGAGTCAAAAATACTGAGGAATAATGTCTCTATATAGTTTTTTTACCATATATACAGAGTATTCAGATTTCTGTTGTGTTCATCCGCGAGGCGTGGGTGGTGGTTGGGTGTATGTAATGTTATCCACACAGAACAGTGGAACAGCAGCTCAAAATACACGGTGGGTGAAAGAGGGAAAAAGAACCAGCGAGTTTATTTCCCACTTCATGCAAGAACACAAAATATAACTAGATCGGCTGTACTAACAGACTCACATATACTGTAATCATTAAGCCTACTGTAATCCTAATTTTGAGGCCCTGAGAATGAAGAAAGAGTCTGCAACACAAACTTCACAGTTAAGTGAATGTTTCTTTATTTTGGATGCAGGTTTCTCAGAGGCTGCAGTGACTCAAACCTCAGACATGCAGACTGGCCGTCTGTAGCACCAAATTTGGTTGTAGCTTGCTCTGAGTAATCAAATACCAGCATTTTGCACATCGAAACGGGCGTGCAGCGGAAAGACTGCAGATAGCCTCTTGTTTATACCACTTTCCGTCCTGCAGCTCATTTCTCCCTGAAGGAGGATGCTTCAGAAGTCATGTGCAGCTGATAATGCTCCATCAGAGGCCCGCTGGGAGGAAGAAGATACCTTTTTAAATAAAAGATGTGACAGCAAAAAAGAAAAGAAAAAAAAAAGTCGACAGCCAGCGAGTGGAGGAGAGTAAACCCGAATGACTCATGAAGCATGATAAGCTCCCAGTTCACATCTTCTCCATTTAAACTACTTATATCTTCAGCAGCCTATGAAATGCTGACACACCGTCGGGGACTGAAGCTCTACAATCTGAGCCAAACACAAAAGGAAAACATCGACTGGGCTTCGTACACGTAGCCATTTCTCTCTGTAAATCTTTGGGTCTTCTCTCCCACTCTGATCTCTGGTCAGCAAATATGGTCTGATCCTGTGCCAACAGCTGAGTGGATAACGTCTCGTTATCAGTTCTGTGTAAACACATGATGCAATTAACTTTCTCCGCAGAGGTCAGTACTTAATGTAGAAGTCACCGCTGGGGTACAGCGTGTGTTTTTAAGTTCTTCATTCATTTGTATTTTTTAGAAACTGTTACTACTTCTGCTACCACTAGGACTATTTCAAGGATCAAACTTGAATAACAACTTTATGTCTGTTAAATCAGCCACTTTATTTATTAGGGAGAATTTCCAGACATTCATTTGTTCCTGGCACCTAAAATTTACTATGTAAAAAAAAAAAAATTTCTAAGGCTCTGAGACTCCAGAAATCCACAGTGAGAACCATTAACCACAAATGGACAAAACACAGAACAGTGGTGAACCTTCCCAGGAACGGCCATCCGCCCAAAGTTACTGGATGAGTCGTCATTGGACTCCAAGGGAACGGTGATGACTCATGCAGGAGGTCTTAATAAAATAAATAACATGACTGATTTCCTGTCTCAGTTTTTGCACTTTCAGTTTTCAGACTATTGAATTAATGGACTTGTAGTTTGGGGTACAGCAGTGTGGAGGTTAGCACTGTCACCTTACACCACGGAGTTTAAATCCACCAGCCTTTCTTTGTGGAATTTGCACGTTCTCCCCGTGTCCGCATGAGTTCGCTCCGGGTATTCTGGCATTCTTTTCACAGTCCAAAGACACGCATGTTAGGGTCACTGGTTATAGTAAACAGGCTGTAGGTGTGACTGTTTGTTGATCATCTACACTGATTATCTATACTCCTACTGGGCCCTGAATTGGAAAAGCAGAAGATGGAGGGACTCGTTGTTTGGGGCGATCGTGGCTCAAGAGTTGGGAGTTCGCCTTGTAATCGGAAGGTTGCTGGTTCGAGCCCCGGCTCGGACAGTCTTGGCCGTTGTGTCCTTGGGCAAGACACTTCACCCGTTGCCTACTGGTGGTGGTCAGAGGGTCCGGTGGCGCCAGTGTCCGGCAGCCTCGCCTCTGTCAGTGCGCCCCAGGGTGGCTGTGGCTACAATGTAGCTGCCATCACCAGTGTGTGAATGTGTGTGTGAATGGGTGGATGACTGGATATGTAAAGCGCTTTGGGGTCCTTAGGGACTAGTAAAGCGCTATATAAATACAGGCCATTTACCATTTGTAGCAGAAAGTGTTGTGACAACGGACTTTGTATTTTTCATGTCTTTATATGGGATAAATAGGCATACAACTACTGACCTTAACATGTTGCATCTATCTTGGATTCGTACCTGTATACTTTTGATTCCAGCCCTGCAGTAGTACTTTTTGATGTCCACGTCAATTTCTGTATTCCCGACAAAACTGAAAGGAAGGGCGAGAAGAACGTAGAAGGGGATTCATGTGTGTATTCATATGAAGATAAAAATAAAAACTCATCATGCATTTATTCAGATTTTAAAGGGCAAGTTTACACACAAACTGATGAGAGTGCTGTACATCCACCATCCAAATCTATTTGACTAATTTGACGGTGACTTAATCTACATTTGATGTGTCAGTGAGCATTTCTGCATGGGCTCAAAAAACGAGTGCGTGAAAACGTTCCAATCAGGTAATACAACTGACAATTATTACCAATTATGATCCTGAGAAAAAGGAAGCGCACAAAATGAGCACTTTAATAAACATTTACTGAAGTAACGAGTTTTCTCTGTGTGACAACAAACTAAAAACTCATCAACTGATTCAGACCAAATTAAACAAACTATAGGTTTTAAACGACAGCCTGACGCCAAGATTTGTACATAAGAAGTCATAATTTGAAAGAAACAAGTGCAATTAAGATTACATCACTGGCCAAGTCAAGTGAATTCAACAATGAATGAATCTGAGCGGTCTACCTGATCTGCAGGTCCATGATAACCTGCCTCTTGTCCACATTTTCAGTGTAAACTTTCACTCCATTCACTCTCAGCGGCTGCAGAAAAAAAACAGAGGACATGACAAAACGGAAATCAGACCTGCAGTAAAAGCTTTATTTAATGTTTACTAGCTCTGCATAATTCTACGTGTGAGGTAAATCTGGGTGCGTGGCGAAGAAACTTTCCAGTTCTGATTAAATCAGTTCATGCGAGTCAACGAGGGAGTCACAAATAGAAACATGCGATAAAAGATCTGAACACGTACACTCTGACAGATGGTGCTGCCTAAAACGTCCATGACACTAATTCTCCAGGATTTCCCACAAAGCTAACATCTAAAAATAAAAGTGTTATTCTACAGGCAATAAAAGCCTATAAAACAAAGTGCTAGCTGGTGTATTAGTACGAATAACCCAGATTACAGAAGTGTCCTGCCATGGCCTTTTGGAGTGCATTCACAACACTGTGTTCTTATCTTGTCACCTTGTCGCCCATGTCAATCTTGGTGAAGCAGAAGGTGCTGAGATGAGGGTTGGCGCCCTTCACCGCCGGCTCGATGGTCTCTCTGAACAGCTTCTCCACAAACTGGCAGATAAACGGCCACATCTGCTTCACCGTCTGAGGAAGGGAAAAGAGAAAAACCATGTGGGAGAAAGAATTAGACAGATACAAGACATCCAAATCCCACAGCCCAAAATCCTTCAGCCCACAGCCTGAACAGTCACTGAGCACTGATGCATGCAGCTGCTGGACAAGCCTCATGTTTTACAGCAGACCTGGTGAAAAACAATTACCTGGCATCTCTCTGCAAACGCTTGTGTTTGTTGCACTATACCAATTTAGTTCAAATGACAAACAATGCAGAGATCGGTGTACTTTCAACTGTCACTGTGTTTGTCATACTTTAGATTGTCTATACTTACTACTGCAATTGAGAAGCTGTTACCAAGACTCCTGTGTTTCTGTAATTACATGTGCAGCTATTTGCACCATTTGTGCCCAATCTGAAATCCCCCTGACGGGCAATAAAACGTATTGCTTCACATTACATCATATTACATCACACTGTATAATATTATACCCTCACAGCCATTACAGGTAAACATCAATCAAAAATATGTCTTACAGTTGTATTTCTTATCATCAGTGTTGTGTTGCCAACACCTTTGCCAAACGAGGTCATTTTTATAGTCAAATCAAATCAAATCAAATCACTTTTATTGTCACATCGCATGTGCAGGCACACTGGCACAGCACATGCGAGTGAAATTCTTGTGTGCGAGCCCA